TTTCCTTGAAATCATAGAAATCCAGCAGCATCAACCCAGAAAAAGAATAAAGGCAAACGAACGTCAAATGGAGGGTTTTGAAAGAAACTAGATAGATAAAGAGGTAAATTTCGTGGGAAAATGCAGAAGTCGGATTTTCTTTCTTATTTTTCTACTTTTAAAATCTGATTATTGAACTATATTTAATGTTATTTTCCATTTTCGAAGGAGTTAAACAGTGTTTTGAAAATCGGATCGGATCGGTCAGTTCAATCGATTCAACCGGAAATCGTTGTCTAATCCGGTTCAATCGATTCAACCGGGAACCGTTGCCTAATCCGGTTCAATCTACATCGGTTGAACCGGTTGAAACCGCTGAACCGTTCGAACCGGACGGGCTGAAAACCGAAAAAAATCACCAATTTTGTTTTGTTTTTTTTAAAATTAAACCAAACATTGTTAAACGAGCCAAGTCGAACTCGAGTATTGCTAAGCTCGACTCAAACTTGAAAACTTTAAAAGTAAGTTCAACTCTACTCAAACTCACGAGCTAAAAATCATCAAGTTCAACTCGAACTCGAAATATAATATTGAAACTTGAACTCGAAAATGTTTGAACTCAAAAAAAATTTAGAAGCTCGATTGAAGCCTAAAATTCGAGCTTGATTGAAGTGAAAGAATAATTCACTCAATGCTCACCAAAAGGCTCCATAATTTTGAATGTCAAATTAACTCTATTATTTATAGGAGTTAGTTAGGATGCTCTTCTATGTTTCTTAGTCATGTGAGATTGTTTTGTTCTTATATTTGTACTCTTTAGACTTTTGGGATGTTCTTCTATGTTTCTTAGCTATGTGAGATTAATTTTTTTAAAAAAATTTAAACAAAACAATATCATTTTGTTATTATTTTTAGCCATAAATTTATTTTTTAATTATAGTTATATAATTATATTTATTATTTAATATGTTTTACCTTAAATATTATGTTGTAATTAATTTGAATCATTTTGTTTCACTTGATTTTATGGTTTTTAACTTATATATGTTATTATTTGCTTTGAATATGACTTGTGATATAAAAAATTATTTTTTATTAAATATTTTTGGTATTTTTATTTAATTTTTTAAATAATTATGACATCGTCTGATTTTTTCGACCGGTCAGACTAATTAAACCGATTAAATCAATGAACCGATAGTATGACCGATTTATTAACCAATCCGGTTCTAAAAACCATGGAGTTAAATTCTGTCTCTCAGTTGGCTGGAAAATTTTTAAGTCGTGGGTTTGACCTTTAGCAGCTCCTGTCAATATTCAAGGCTTGTCTTGCACTTGACCACTTTTCGAACGACGTGGTTTTAATTAAAATTAAAATAATTAATTTTTTAAATAAATCACTAATTTTATTCAAAGTAATAAATATCTTAAATTAATAAATATTTACAATTATAATATTAAATTAAGCACATAATTAAGATAATTTCCTATAATATTAAAATAAAACTAATAACTTAAGATCACATAAAGACCATACAATGAAATATTAAAATTTAATCAAGAAAACTCGAACAAAGATATAGATATAAACATACATGATCGCATCGACAAACTAACCACAAAAACATGAAGTTAAACCACCGAAAAACTACAAATCAGACTCGAACGATGTGAAAAGTTATCTACGAACGCATAACGGGTATCGAAATCCAATTCGAGGATCCAAAACAGAGAAAATAAATAATATATTATATAAGTGTTATCTTTATTAGTTGTGACGATGTATAATCAATCCTTAAAAAAAGATAAATAAAAACGACGATCAAACGATCGAAAAAATACCAAAATGTAAAAAAAATTATGTACAATATGGAGCGATTTGATTCTTAACACGAACACAAAAATCAAGTGCAAATCACTTTGACAAATAATGTAAAGATATGATACAATACAAAATGAATAAGATATACACTAATTTATATTAATTAAGTTATTTTAATGATTAAAAGAATAATTATTATTTATTGAAATTTTGGATTATAAGGAGTGTATAAATATTTATGGTTAAATAGTTAAAAATCTTTCAAATAAATATTATTTTATAATCACCTCAAATTAATTAAAAAAATAAATTATGAAAAATCATATCAAATATCTATATGCAATATTAAAAAATATATAAATAATTAATGAATTTAATAAGACTATCTAATAAAAAATATTATAACAATCATCAATAATTATCATCAAATTCTCTAAAATTGTGCTTAATTGTTGACGACTCTGGAATAAGACTAAAGTGTACAAACTCAAAAACCTTACAAATTCTAAATTAAATAAAAAAATAAACTAAAATAAATTTATTTTATCAAAAAACAGTATGAGCTTTTACACGTGGAAAATATGTGTTCGCGAAACATTCAACTTCAAGGACAACTTTCTGTTGTTATGAAAAACACTACAATTTCTTGAATAGTAATTGGGTATCACCATTTCTCAAAATTTGTTCTATTTTCTGTATACAACCCTCATTTAACATTTAATCAATTAATTTTAGGGTAAATTCATTAATGGTCACTAAATTTTTATGACATTTTATTTTGATCATCAAACTTTTAAAACTCACTTTAGAATCATTAAATTTCATTAAGAAAATTTGACATGACATAATAAATTTCTATAAAAAAATCTTAATGTTCCAAATTGGTAGTCGTCGTAAAGGTTAAGCTTATGATGAACGAAGCAATTTCGGTCAGTCTCAATGATGGAAATGTTTCGTTTGATCAAAAAATTAGCATAATACTATTTCAAGTAGATCCAACAGATAGTGGTGTATTAAAAAAAATTAACTTTTAGTTTTGAGTGAAATTTGAGAAGCCTAGAAGGTTTTCTGATGAGTTTGAATTGAAAAAAAAGGAACATCGACTACTAGAATATTTAAGATGTCATGTCAACTATTGTTAATGGTTTAATGATCTAATGACTATTAAATTTTTTTTCTTAATGATAATAGCTCCGATGAAACTTTTTTAATTTCAGTAATCAAAGTAAAAGTACCCTAAAAGTTCAATGACTATTTGTTTAATTTACCATTAAGTTTTTAGGATAAACTATATGAATGGTCCCCTATATTTTTTGTTTATTCAATTTTGGTCATCGGTTCAAAAAATGGTTTTGATTCATTACGTTATTGGTTAGTTCGATTTTGACCTGTCAGTCGTTAACTTATGTTAACCCATTAACGAAAATCCGAGTCAACAATTAAAAGATTCTTCTTCTTCTTCTTGAAAATTTAAAGTTAAAATTGAATTGACCACCGACTATGTTTAAAGAAAAGTCAATAATTGTTGAAAGAAAAAGAATAATTTAACACAATTCAGTGTCTTCTGATAAAAAAATAGCACTTTGTAGTATTTGCAACCAAAAAGTACTTCGAAGAAGAAGAAGAAGAAGAAGAAGAGAAGGAGAAGGAGAAGGAGAAGGAGAAGGAGAAGGAGAAGGAGAAGGAGAAGGAGAAGGAGAAGGAGAAGAAGGAGAAGAAGAAGAAGAATTTTTTTAATTGTTAACTCAAACTTTCGTTAATGGGTTAATGAGAGTTAATGACTGATAGATCAAAACCAAACTAATTGATAACATAAACGACCAAAATAAATTTTTTTAACCGGTGACCAAAATCGAACGATATGAAAACATAGGGATCATTTGTATAGTTGACCCAAATTTTTAATGTTTTGAAAATAATAATTATTTAAAAGGTAAAGAACTCAAATTGTCATTCGACTATAAGGTGATGCCTTGTTGAGTCATTCGATTATTAAAAGTGATAAATTAATCTCTCGACTATAGGATGTTGTTTTGTTGAGTCATTCAAAATTAAAAGTTACAAATGATCACTCAACTATTCATATGTTCCAAACTCTTCATTTTCCAGTAAAAAAGTGATTGTCATTTGAGTTGTACATTAACATGTTGAATAAGATATGATAAAATCATATTTTAATAATGCCTACTGGCAACGTCATTGCTTTCAAGCACTGACTCAATGATATAATCATGTTTTGTAACTTTTAATATTCGAAGGAATCAACAAAGTAACATTTAGGGACTATTTTGTAAAGTTTAATAGTCATAAGATTTAATTAAACATTATTCTATAACCGGAGACCATTTGTGTAGTTTATCCTAATTTAAATTGAAACGAAGAAAAGTAAGATAACGTTTTAGATGGATCGAACGGTGGAATCCTCAACTTTTATAAAGAGGGTAAGCCGCCGTATGATGTTACAGGTGTCAAGGTATGGTGACAGGACCATCAAAATTATTTATTTTCCTTGTGCACCCAAACATTGCACCCCCAATTCCTCCTTCCTTCAACCTTCTCCTTTCAGCTTCAACTCCAAACCTCGTTTACTTTTCCTCCCAAAGCTTACCTTCTGATCCGAACCTCAATTTTGCTCCTCTGTTCGTTGAAAATTTCGCACACTATTTCGATCACTTTATCGCTCTATCTCCATCTCTATCTTCTAGCTATAACAAAAAACGCCCAATTTTTCAAACCCTAATAAATTTTCCAACAAGTTTGACACTCTTTCAATGATCGTTTTTCGAGCTCCATTTTAATGTCATCTCCACTCCAGTGTAAGTTCATTTCTCATCTCTCTCTCTCTCTCTAGGGTACCTAACGTAAATTTTCCACTTTTCAAATATTTTTTTATATGAGATGCTGAATCGATGGTAAGGGTTTGATAGTACAGGGATGGGCAGCTGCGTCGTTTGTATTTCGTTTTAGTGACGGGGATTGCTTGCTGCCGTTTCGATCTTCATATGTAGGCTAGGTTAGAAATGTGCGATTTTTACGGAATTTTTGAGTTTAGTGTCTGTTTGTTTGCCGAGAAAAGGTAGGGGCGCCAGAGATCTTCATCGATGGGAATTGCGAATTTTAAATTGAGCTGAGGTTGTAGTAGTTCTTTTCTTCATCTCTATGAAAGGTTAATGTTTTGGTTTTTATAAATAATTTAGTTTCAAGGCTTTGTCATTAGTAGTGATTAGTGAATTTATGTTCGTACTGAACTTGTAGTATTCTGCTTTGACGCTTCTCGAGTGTCTTCTTTTTTGTGTGTTAGTTAGAGTTCATTGACATTGATATGGTAGCCTTTGATGTTTTGTTTTTTGTTAATTGGGAGGTATCTTTTTCCTTCGACTGATACGCTATTGGTTTTATTACTACCTTTCTGTTGTGCGTATCTTTATGTACTTGATGTATCAGACTGCTAACTTCTCATATGTACATCTAAATTTATTGATTTAATGAATCTACCTTTCATTAATTTTCATCAATATGAAGCATGTGTTTCATGTTGATTATCGAGTGTGGTACATAAATTGACTAGAAAACAAAGACGAAGTTTGGCATTAGATTAGATTGCTATACCAAATTAAGAAAAGAAAGGTGGAACAATTTTCATGAACAGATAGTTGCCTTAACTTGCTTTAACTTCTGTTTCCGTTAAGAGGTGATATGTTGGATTTTATCCATGCAGGAAACGTCACAACCAGGGTGAACGTTTAAATGTACAGAAGAGGTTTGTTTCTAATTATACTTTGATTTAAAGAAGGATTTTTATGGTTGTGTGGCATATAATGGAATTGAAAACATGTTAAGACTTAATTCTTTTTAGGCTCTAGTTTTCCTCTCAAAGCTTTAGCTGCTGAGTATTTTTGGCTTGGATTATCTCTATGCCTGGCAACGAAGTTGGAGACAGGATCCATAATTTCCTTGGTCAAGAGGGTTTGTCCCAAGGCCAGCATCATTCGCCATTCCTTGACTCTGCCTGGCCTGGATTAAGTAACAATCTATGGGTTGGAGGCCAGAGACAAGTCGGTGAACCTCTTGTTTCCAGTTTGAAGAATTTTAGTGCACATCAATTAGGTAATATGAAGACATCTAGCTCTCCTGTTACTATAATTTTGATTTTAGCGCACGGTTGTAGCATGCTTCCTAACACTATTTAATTGTCTTCATTATATTCTTTTGGCATTAGCTGAGTCTGACAGAGGACATAGTGGTCAATCTTCTAGTCAGCAGCAGGACATGAACTTCACTCACTCAGGTTTGAGGTCTGAGATAGCTAGAAGTCAATTACAAAACCAATCACCAAATGGAAATGGCTATTTTCTAGGGCATCAGGCTCTTCAGGCAAGGCAGAATGAAACGAACTTTTTGGGAGTGGATGCAACATCTAGATGCTTATCACCTCTTGATTCACAGATAGGAAATGGTCCTGATCTTCATAAGAAAAATTCCCTGAGGTTGGAATCTACTGAATCTCCCGTAAATTACAATTTTTTTGGACGGCAACACCAAATTAGTGCACAGCATTCCGGCATGATCCAGCCTTTGCCCAGGCAGCAGTCAGGAATGAATGACATGCAGCTATTACAGCAACAACAACATGCTATGCTTATGCAAATGCATGAATTACAGAGGCAACAACTCCTGAAGCCACAGTTTCAGCTACCAGATGCAAGGCAGTTGAGCTCCGCAAGTCAGGTTTCCTCTACTGTAAAACAGGCATTGGGTAGCCTTTCTCCAGCTCCAATCAATGGCTTTCCTCTCCATGATGCTTCAAATTATTCCTGGCAGCCTGAGCACATGACACCAAATGCAAATTGGCTGCAGCATGGTGCATCTTCTGCCATGCATGTATCCTCTGGAGGATTTACGTTTTCCCCTGAGGAAGGGCAGATGTCTTTGATGGGTTTGGTTCCTCAACAGGTTGATCAATCATTTTATGGTATCTCAACTGATGGCGCAAGAGGAAACCCATATCATCATTCTTCTGTTCAAATGAATAAACCTTCAATGCAGCAGGTACCAGCCAGCAGTAACTTTTTTCCAGGTAATCAGTATGCTGTATTTACAGATCAAGGTAGCTTGCAAGATGGAACTTCGGTTTCTAGACAGGTTGATCAGGGTAAAAATGTGTTTGGGGCTGCAGCAGGACAAGGCTTAAATACTGGATTTCATTCAGAAAACTTACAGGAAAAGACTATCCAGCCCAAAAACATTGTGATGCAGGAGTCTTGTGGAAGGCAAGAACTTCCTGGTCCATCAGAAATATCCCTGGACAAGTCAGCAATTCAGGCTGCCCCCACACAGAGTGTGGCCACGCTAGATGAAACTGAAGAAAAGATTTTGTTTGGTTCAGATGATAGTGTGTGGGATATCTTTGGAAGGAGCACCAACATGGGATCATTGTTGGATGGTGTGGACTCTTTTGGGGCTTTGCCTTCTTTGCAAAGTGGCAGTTGGAGTGCACTTATGCAGTCTGCTGTGGCAGAAACATCTAGTAATGATTTAGGGGTACAGGACCAGTGGGGTGGTTTAGGTGTGCAGGATAGTGAACCTCCAAGCCTGAATGTGCCATCACAAAGTGTCAATGATGACAGCAAACATCAATTAGCTTGGGCTAATAACAAATTGCAGACTGGCTCGACATCGAACTCTAAACCTTTTCCAATGTCTAGTTATGCCAATATCAATCTTGATTTTTTCAGCATCCCTGGGGTTCAGCAATCAGGAGTCCAGATTGCAAATGAACAGAATGAGAAAATGCATATCGATTCATCTCAGAAATCTGTTCAACAGTTGACAGGAGAAAGAAGCAAATGGATAGATTGCAGTCCTCTACAGAAGCCTGTAGCTGAAAGTGTGCAATTCTTTGGAAATGCTGCCCATTCTCCTAATTTGCAAGTGGGTGCAAAGAGCTTTTCAGGTTACCAACAAGGCATAGCTGTACATACTATGCGTGAACAGCCACACAATAAGCCAAATGGTTGGAACTTCATTGATTCTTCACAACATAGTGGTAATGCTATATCAAAAAGTCGGGATATTGATTGTGCATTACAACCTTCTCATAATAGTGATCATAGAGGTGCCCTGCATGAGGAGGAAGGTCATGGTTCTGCTCTTGATCATTCTGTTCCTAATGCAAATATCGAGCAGGGAAATTTCAGTTCCGGCTTGAGAAGCCCACAGATGAATAGGGAAGGTTCTGACTTGGATAATGTTGCTGCAGTAACAGATTCAAGATCAATAAGGGTCACTGATAGCAGCCAGCAACTTCCAAACAATCATAATCTTAATTTCAGGAGAAGTACTGATTCTAAATTAAACTCTGTACAAAGCAAGGTTCAAGCTAAGGATAAGAACTATCAAGCTTTTGATTCATCTGGAAATGATTGCTTGGACAAGGGAGAAAATGAAGCAAATATGTTGGAGGATCAGAGTATCAAAAAAACTTGCAATGACAGTTTTCATCCAAACACATTCCACCGTTCTTCTACCAGTGGCATGAGAGACAATGTCTGGATGGATGTAAATGATTCATGTGGAGGAAAACAGAAGTCATCTGTTCGTATTAGTCATAAGCCTTCTGGAATCCGTAAATTTCAGTATCATCCTATGGGGGATCTGGATATTGAGGCGGAACCTTCATATGGAACTAAAGGTGTTGCACATTCACAGTCAATATCACAACATGTTTCACAACGATTGGAAGGGCATGACCAAGGATACTTTGGGCAGTCAAAATTTACTGGTCATGCTTCTAGAGATTCTTTAGAAACTGAGAAGGTAATTTTTGGTGTTAAACTGTCAAATATTTTTCTGTCCTCTGTACAACTGCTGAATTTTACTTCACTTTTTTAGAATATATAATCCTTTGGAAAACTAAATAATCTTCTATTATTTTTCTCCTGCTTAGGGGTGTTTTCCCAGCATTCAAGTAGACGAGGTACCTTCAAAAAGCTCAAATCAAGGTTCTGCTTCTGACAGATCCTTTGTTGGTTCTGTGCCAAACAAGACAGCTCCAATGAGGTAGTTGAACATTTGCACTTGTTTTTTTGGCTTGAGTTGAATTTCTTGCTTTTCTCAAAACATTTAGCTACAAATAATACTCTTTGGTTGTTAAAACTATGATAGTAAAAATGTATCCATCACCATATATTTGCAATCTGTTTTTTATTATCATTGTACTGGTTTTCTTATTTACCTTTTAATGTAATTTTCAGTCAAAACATGCTGGAGCTTCTTCCCAAGTTTGATCAGCTAGGAGAACATGATAGTGCAACACATTTAAGCTCGTCCAAACGCAATCTATCATCTGAATTGCCTGATACAGAAACTTCTGATGGATCTGTAGGCCAGATTCAGCATAACAGGCCTTCTACTTCCCAAGGTTTTGGCTTACAATTAGGTCTTCCATCTCAAAGGTTTATCATTCCTGATCGTGCAATCTCATCACAGAGTTCTCCCCAAGTAGTTAATTCTCTAAATTCAGTTCATGTCTCTTCTGTGGTAGGAAGGAAGGGTCATGCATGGTTGGATCCAAAAACTTCGGTACAGTCCCCAACTCATGGAGCATCCTCTGAAGACATTAGGAATAATGTTTCAAGTATTTCTGGTCAAATCAGTAATAAGTTGTCACCACATAGTATTCAGGGCAACTTTTCTACTGGTTTTACCTCTGATTACCATTTAAAAAGTCATCTTGAAGGCCAGCATGTTACTAATGTGGGTAGTCAGGTAACACTAAGTGCATCTATGGATGCACCTTTTGGTGGGTTGGCATCTCTTGCCAAGCAGACTGATGAATCTTCCGAGAGAGCTCAAACTAGTCAATTGAGAAGGAAACCAGCACCTCGCATACCTAAATCTACTGCAGATAACAATCTTGCTTCTTCAGAGACTTCTCGGCCAAGTAGTAGTGACCAAATCCATGCAAGGGATCCAGGCCAGCAGTTTCCAGTTTTGAAGGCTCTGCCAGCTTCCCAACCATCTGCTACATCTGAATCTCCAAAGCCAGGTGCTTTTACCAAAATGCCTGATGTGTGGACCAGTGTTTCAGCCCCACAGCATTTACTAGGAGGACAGTCATCTTGGGACTCCCAAAATTTGTTTAAGTACCATCATCAATCGAATATTAACTCTGAAACAACTCTTCCTGGAACAAAGAAGCTGGACAATCAAATTGCTGAGGCAGGAGGTTTTGGTCAGTCTGTGTCACCTGCAGGCTCTGCTAAACCACAGAGCTTTGTTGGAGAGGAGCAACCAGCAAAAAAAGATCAGCAGTTATTGGCAGAGAATGGTGCCAGCCCAAATCCTGCAGCTATGCTCCGAGACATTGATGCTCTTGGCAACTCTTTGAGACCAAATAATACGGTACATCAGAACCATTCATTGTTGCATCAGGTGCCGTCCATGAAAGATATAGAGATTGAACCAAGTAATAGGAGCGCCAAAAGATTTAAATGCCCAAGTCTAGACTCTGCTTTGGATACTCAGCAGGTAAGTTCTGAAGGCTCAGAGCAGGTAAGTTCTGAAGGCTCAGAGCAGTTATCTTATGGATCCGATACTAGGATGAAAGATGCTCTTGTCAATAGTGTGTCAGCTCCTTCTAATGATATTGTGGCATTCACTCAGAATGATTCCCGTCATTTCTCTGGTGCTAATAATTCAGCTGCTAATCTCAAGGGTGGACACTCTCAAATAAGTCCCCAGATGGCTCCATCCTGGTTTGATCGGTATGGCACGTTTAAAAATGAGCAAATGTCCTCTCTATATGATGTTCGAGAAATTGCCATGGTGAAGGCTGCAGAAAAAGCATTTATTGTTGGTAGACCTTTTGACAGTTCGCATGCTCTTCATTCAAGTGAGCAGGTTATTGCCGCTGCTGATCCTAGTCAGCTCGATAGTGCCTGTAAAAACTCAGAGCCAATATTGACTGAGCATACCTCCTCTCACTCGTTGCCTCCTGATATCACAAATCAGGATTTGGTTGTTATCAAAGCAAGAAAGCGTAAAAGTATGGCATTTGAGCTTCTACCATGGTATAGAGAAGTGACACAAGTTTCTCAAAGATCTCAGAACATCAGGTGACTGGAATAAGTAACCCATTTGCTGCAATTACTTGTAGCAATATAGATGTCAATGACCGAAAACACTCAAGTATTTTCTAATACTGTTACTATGCAAAAATTAGTTGCTCTCCTCTTTCACTATATATATGTTTTTCTTAATTTTGGAATTATATTGAAGTTTTCTGTTGATCGCAGTGTGGGAGAGGTGGAATGGGCACATGCAGTAAATCGATTGATTGAGAAGGTGTGTTCAGTTTTTAACTGTTTTATTTTGTTGTTATCTTAGTATTTCTTAGAGCTGTGACAGTTCATAGCTTAAAGACGTTGATCTAATCACAGGTTGAAGATGAACCTGAAATGATTGAAGATTGGCCACCAGTGGTTAGATCAAAAAGAAGGCTCATCTTGACAAGGCAGCTTATGCAGCAACTACTTCATGCTCCTCCAAGATCATATCTTACTGCAGGTGCTAGCAAAAACTATGAGATTGTGGCCTATTTTGTTGCCAGATCAGTCTTAGGAGATGCATGCAGCACAGCATGTATATTGGAAACTGGTACTGCTATTCGTCCCGACAGTGAAAGCACGTAAGAACATGTTAATATCCTTCGAAATCCTTGAATTCTGTTTTTACCGGATCTCATCTGCCAATCATTGTTGCTATTAACTGGTACTATCTGATGATTTTCCCCCCTTTCAATTTGCTTTTAGCCTCTCGGAAAAGCATAAGGAGAGAAACCAGTCCACCTTAAAGGCAGCAGAAGATTTTATCATCAGAGCAAAGAAACTTGAAAATGGTTTACAGAGGTAACCCACATCTAGTTCTTGCCAATTTCTTTTATGCATAACATTTCTTTTGTTAGTCTTTTGCAACATTGTTATTAATGTCTTCTAACTAGTTCAATGGATAAGATGGCTTTTGAGGTGCATTCTGCCTGTTGAAAGTATGCTGCCGCATATGTTTACTGTTATTTTGCTTAGTACTTTGACCTGAAGTATGGCTTCTAGCTAGTTCAATGGATAAGATGGCTAATTAGCGTATAACAATTATACCTTTGGTTTCCCACGGCTGCCCCATTAATTATTTTGCCCTAAGCACTTTTTACGACCGTGGCAATTATCTCATCTTCGAATGTTTCTGCTTTGTTATGCAGTCTGGACAAGAGAGCCTCAATCTTGGACCTAAGATTGGAATGTCAGGATCTAGAGAAGATTTCTGTCATCAATCGTTTCGCCAAGTTCCATGGCCGGGGGCAAGCTGACGGGACTGAAACCTCATCGTCCTCCGATAATTCTCACAAATTCTTCTCCCAGAGATACGTAATTGCTCTACCTATGCCCCGGAATCTCCCTGACAGAGTACAATGCCTTTCCCTGTGATAATTACTTGAAAAAGATTTTTCCATCTTTTTTTGGCCAATTATCTTCTCGTCCCTCACGCATCTCTAAGTTTAAAAGCAATGGAGGCTCTTAGATCTTACCATTGGAGGCCATTCAAGTTGATTTGCGGAGATATATAAGTTTTATCATTGAATATTGGTCTGAAAATGAATGTTGAGAGAAATTGAGGGATAAGGCCCCATGATTTTTGGGTAAATAGGGAAGAAGAAAAAGGTGAGTCTGAAATATTTTTGAGGGGTAAGCCGAATATTGTTTGTGTATTTATTAAGCCTTTTGGATGCGTTTCATTCATAAGTAAAAGGGTTTCTGCATTTCTCATCATCTCTTATTTTGCTAGGGATGACAATGGAGCATGGAGGAAATTAAGATTACTTTTCTATTTTGTCTACATTATTCCGACTTTTCTTCATCCATGAAACGGATATTTGATCTCTTGTATATTATTCTGACAACAGCACTAAATGAATTAAATTCATTTGGCAAATCATATTTTTCCCCCTTAATCATGACGAACTATAGCATTCGTTCTATCTAATCCTTCAATTAAAGTAATCATGACGGTATATAAATCTAGTCGTTATCTTATTAGATAAATGTTTAAAATTTGATTTCATTTATTAAGTTTAAACATTACAATTTGAATAAATAATACCTCCACCGCGATTTTGGATTTAATTTGAGCAAATATCGGAATCCACAGTCCCATATTACCACGTGAAATTTGGATTTTTATGCCTTTAAATGTTGTTTGATCGATTGAATTTTGTACCAAGTCGCTAGCATTATCATGGGAATTAGAGTGCATAATCTAAAAATCCAAGTGCAGTGACCTGATTGAAAATATTTTCAAGTTTAAGGACCCATCTTACAATCCAAATTATAAACAGAAAACGTCATAAGTCCGCAACGAACGCGGTCGTAAAACCAGAAAATACAATATGAAGAGTGTTCAAAGCTGTTGACTCATCTGTTTAGTCTCCTCTTCTCTTCTTCATATATATATATATATATATATATTTTGATTAAATTTTAGAGTAAAAGTAGGAAGATTAGAAGAAAGATTGAAAGATGGGATGGTATCAAGATGGTGAAAGCTTAGCTACCTTTTAAAGTATCTCTTCCTTTTCCCCGCACAGATTTTAGCCACTAATCTTATCGAGTGACTACCAATTAATCTCGGGAAGCTTCAGTCTCGGAAAGTTGTGATACTTGATGGGAATCAAATTACTTCCTTGCCAGATGAATGTAATACCCTTTTCTAGATAAGTAAGAAAAATCTAATATATACCCATTTCTTTGCCTCCATCATTTGCAGATTTGCTACGCGTCAATTTCTACAAACTTTATGGGTTAAGTGCACTGTTTCAATGGCTTCTAACTCCATTCTTCTGTCCAGTGGGCCAGCTGGTAAGAATTGAGAAGTTATCGATCTCTGGAAATATGTTATTGTCCTTGCCCGAGACTATTGACAGCTTGCGCAATGTAAGTGACTCTACTTATTGAACGATTAACCTTGTGGAGCAGTTCTTGACAACTGGTTCAAAAGATATTTGCATCTTTGCCTGGTTTTATTGAAAAATCAAAGCAATATTAATGGGCGGCTAATTTTGTTAATTTTGGCCACCAATTATTAAATTAATAAATGGTAAAATAGCTAAAATTAGTCATTGTACTTTAGGGTATTTTCAAGTTAGTCCTTAAAGCTTCAATTATAAATACCCTAGCTCATTTAGCTTCAAAACCATCCCAAAGCATTCTAGCTTTCTTCCAATACTAGAGAGAATTTAGAGAGTTTCTTGAGAGTTGTTTTCTCCTTTTTATCAAGAGAGAATTATCATTGTTTTCTCCTTGGTAGATCGAGAGAGGTTGTAATTCTTATTTTCTCATAGTGAAATTCTTCTACCGTTGCCCGTGGTTTTTACCTTATATTATTTAGGGGTTTTCCACGTAAATTTTGTGTCTCTTTTTATCTTCATTTTTATTTTCTCAAATTATCAGTTACGATTTTGCTCTATCCGATAGCCGTCTTCCGCAACAATTAGTAACAGAGCTAGATTAGAGTGTGTAACATATGCTTATTGTCTTTGTGGTTGCCACCAAAAGGTAGATCCTCAAACATAAGAAAATAAGAAGTTATTACTCATTCTTTGAAGGTTCCAGAGAACTATTCACGATAGTGAAATAGTGGGAGCTATCCGTAAAAGAAGCTATGGCAACGAAATTTGATATTGAAAAATTCAATGGGAGAAATTTCTCATTGTGGAAATTAAAGATGAAGGTCATCCTAAGGAAAGACGGGTGTCTAGCGGCTATCAATGAAAGGCCGGTGGATTTCGCAGATGACATCAAATGGAACGAGATGGACGGGAATGCTATGACAAACTTTCATCTAGCATTAGCAGATGAAGTATTGTCAAGCATCGAGGAGAAGAAGACAGCTAAGGAGATATGTGATCATCTCACCAAATTGTACGAGGCCACATCGTTACACAATAAAATTTTCCTTAAGAGGAAATTGTATACTCTCCGTATGCCAGAATCTACTTCAGTGACGGAGCACTTAAACAAGCTGAACACTTTATTTTCTCAGCTTACATCCCTAAGATGTACAATTGGAGAACAAGAACGTGCTGAACTTCTACTTCAAAGTCTACCTGATTCGTATGATCAACTCATCATCAACTTGACAAACAGTAATGTCACCAGTCTAGTCTTCGATGATGTTGCAGCTGCTGTTCTCCAAGAAGAAAATCGGCGCAAGAACAAGGAAGACAGACAAGTGAATCTGCAACAAGCAGAAGCGTTGACAACGATGAGAAGGAGATCAACAGAACGTGGCCAAAGCAGCAGTCACAAACATGGTAGATCGAAGTCAAGAAGCAAAAAGAATTTAAAGTGCTACCACTATGGAAAGAAGGGTCACTTGAAGAAGGATTGTTGGAGTCTAAATAAAAACTCCAATCCACAAGGCAATACCGCAAACACTTCAAATGATGGAGATGCTCTATGTTGTGAAGCGTCAACCACCGTGGAAGGTAGAAAACGATTTGCAGATATATGGCTCATTGATTCGGGAGCAACATATCACATGACCTCAAGAAGAGAATGGTTCCATCAGTATGAACCTGTCTCAGGAGGATCTGTGTATAGTTGCAATGATCATGCCTTAGAGATCATTGGCGTGGGAACCATTAAATTGAAGATGTACGATGGAACAATCAAAGTTGTTTGAGATGTGCGGCACGTGAAAGGCCTGAAGAAAATTTTATTATCCTACGGATTGTTGGATAATAATGCAAGCAAGATTGAAACACGGAAATGAATCATGAAGGTGTTCCGTGGAGCACTTGTGGTGTTGAAAGGCGAAAAGATAGCAGCAAACTTGTACATGTTGAAGGGAGAAACTTTGCTAGAAGCAGAAGCCTCTGTTGCCTCATGTAGTTCAGATTATACAATTCTATGGCATCAGAAACTTGGACACATGTCAGAACAAGGAATGAAAGTCCTTGTGGAGCAAAAGCTACTTCCAGACTTAACAAAGGTATCACTTACTTTGTGTGAGCATTGCATAACAAGTAAGCAGCACCGGTTGAAATTCAACACATCAAATTCTAGAGGCAAAAATGTTCTAGAATTGGTTCACTCTGACGTATGGCAAGCACCAGTAACATCCCTAGGTGGAGCAAAATACTTTGTCTCATTTATTGATGACTACTCCAGGAGATGTTGGGTGCACCCTATTAAGAAGAAGTCAGACTTGTTTTCAACTTTCAAAAACTTCAAAGCGCGGGTGGAACTTGATTCTGGAAATAAGATCAAGTGTTTCAGAATAGATAATGGAGGAGAATACACAAGCGAAGAATTTGATGACTTTTGCAGGAAAGAAGGCATCAAAAGACAGTTCACAGTGGCGAACACTCCTCAACAAAATGGAGTGGCAAAGCGGATGAACAAAACCTTGTTAGAAAGAACAAGAGCAATGTTGAGGGATGCAGGCCTAGAAAAATCATTCTGGGCAGAAGCAGTCAATACCGCCTGTTATTTGGTGAATCGAGTTCCATCAACTGCAATAGAGATGAAGACACCAATGGAGATGTGGACTGGTAAACCAGCTGATTATTCAAACCTCCATGTATTTGGAAGTAATGTGTACGTGATGTATAACTCCCAAGAAATCTCAAAGCTGGATCCAAAATCCAGGAAATGCAAATTCTTGGGGTATGCTGATGGAGTCAAGGGGTATCGCTTGTGGGATCCCACTACCCGCAAAGTGATCATCAGCAGGGATGTTATCTTTGTAGAAGATAAACTACAGAGAAAAGAAGACGATGATAGCACTAAAAAGTCAGAGACTACACAGATACATGTGGAAAAGGAGGTTGAAGAAAGAGATTCTTCTGAAGCAGAACCAGCACATGATGAACAAGAACCAGAGAGTTCTGAAGCTCCAACATCTCATCAATCAGATCGTGTGAGAAGACGTCCCAATTGGCACTCAGATTATATTATAGAAGGAAATATTGCATAATGCATTTTAACAGAGGACGGTGAGCCATCAACATACGAGGAGGAAATAAACAGCTCAGATGCTTCACTATGGATGATGGCGATGCAAGAAGAAATTGAAGCCCTTCATAAAAATAATACATGGGACCTTGTGCCACTACCACAAGGAAGAAATCCAATTGGTAACAAATGGGTCTTCAAAATCAAGCGAAATGGTGACGATCAAGTTGAGAGGTATCGTGCAAGACTGGTGGTCAAAGGATATGCTCAAAAAGAAGGTATTGATTTCAATGGAATATTTTCTCTTGTGGTTCGACTAACAACAGTTCGAGTAGTTTTGACAATGTGTGGTACATTGAACTTACATCTAGAGCAGCTAGATGTTAAAACAACTTTTCTTCATGGAAATCTTGAAGAAGAGATTTACATGCTCCAACCTGAGGTTTTGAAGAAAAAGAAAAGAAGAACTTGGTTTGTAGGTTGAACAAATCTCTGTACGGTCTAAAGTAGGCGCCGAGGTGTTGGTATAAGAGATTTGATTCCTTCATTATGTGCCTTGGATACAACAGACTTAATGCAGACCCTTGTGCTTATTTCAAGAGGTCTGGTAATAACGATTTTGTTATATTGTTGTTGTATGTGGATGACATGTTGGTTGCAGGACCCAACAAAGATCATATTGAAGAATTAAAGGCACAACTGGCTAGGGAATTTGAAATGAAGGACTTGGGATCAGCAAACAAGATTCTAGGGATGCAAATTCACCGAGATAGAAGTAATAGGAAGATTTGGCTTTCACAAAAGAATTACTTGAAGAAGATCTTGTCACGATTCAGCATGCAAGATTGTAAGCCAATTTCTACCCCTCTTCCTATTAACTTCAAATTATCCTCCAGTATGAGTCCTAGCAGTGAAGAAGAGAGGATGGAGATGTCTCGAGTACCGTATGCATCAGCAGTGGGAAGTTTAATGTTCGCTATGATATGCACAAGACCAGACATTGCACAAGCAGTGGGAGTGGTTAGTCAGTACATGGCGAATCCAGGCAAAGAGCATTGGAATACTGTGAAGAGAACCCTGAGATATATCAAAGGGACCTCAAATGTTGCATTATGTTCGGAGGATCAAAATTATTAATCAATGGGTATGTAGATTCTGACTATGCAGGGGATTTGGATAAAAGCAAATCTACAACAAGATATGTGTTCAAAGTTGCTGATGGAGTTGTAAGCTGGGTTTCTAAGTTGCAGTCAGTTGTGGCTACATCCACAACAGAAGCATAATATGTAGCAGCTACACAAGCCAATAAAGAAGCAATATGGTTGAAGATGTTATTGGAGGAGCTTGAGCACAATCAAGTACCATTTCATTCGTGAAAAGGTGGAAGAAGGGACAGTAGATATGTAGAAGATCCATACCAAAGACAACATAGCAGATTTTATGACGAAGGCGATCAACGCTGATAAATTTACTTGGTGTCGATCCTCCTGTGGCCTGTCAGAGACGTAAGCAACATGAAGGTACATGGTAGAAAGAATGGTGTGAAGATATGATTGTTCTAATCAAATCTTCAAGTGGGAGATTGTTGAAAAATCAAAGCAACATAATGGGGCGGCTTCAACATTAATGGGCGGCTAATTTAATCAATTTTGGCCACCAATTATTAAATTAATAAATGGTAAAATAGCTAAAATTAGTCATTGTACTTTAGGGTATTTTCAAGTTAGTCCTTAAAGCTTCAACTATAAATACCCTAGCTCATTTAGCTTCAAAACCATCCCAAAGCATTCTAGCTTTCTTCCAATACTAGAGAGAATTTAGAGAGTTTCTTGAGAGTTGTTTTCTCTTTTTTATCAAGAGAGAATTATCATTGTTTTCTCCTTGGTAGATCGAGAGAGGTTATACTTCCTATTTTCTCATAGTGAAATTCTTCTACCGTTGCCCGTGGTTTTTACCTTATATTATTTAGGGGTTTTCCACGTAAATTTTGAATCTCTTTTTATCTTCATTTTTATTTTCTCAAATTATCAGTTGCGATTTTGCTCTATCCGATAGCCGTCTTCCGCAACAGGTTTAAGCATCAGTAATAATCTCGAGATCAACCAAGTTGATCTTTTTTTTTTATTTTTATGAGTAATTATGTTGTCATATGTTAATGAAGAAAAAGAATGCCAAGAGGGATTAAACATTCGTTAACTCACTAAGTAAACCAACAATAAATGAGTGGAGTATATCATATGTTTAGAATGTTTCAGATAGTTCATGGGTCTTATTTTCGTTTTTTGTAAAGTAGTTGTCATTGCTTAATGTGTCTAACAACAAGTTGAAGTATCTACCTGAATCAGTTGGGAGCTGCTTTTCTTTGGAAGAACTGCAAGCATATGGTATGTTTATGCATGCATATTTAACTGTTACTAAAACTGCTCGTCTGCTTTCAAAAGATCACCAGTTAAATAAGTTTTTTTGAATATCTGTTCGGGATGCTGTCTGTCCTGTTAGATGGTGTTTTGTCTTTGGTTTAGTAGCATCATGGTTGGTTCTGAAAATTTTCTGGTGTGTTTACCCGGAAAAGCTTCATACTGTAGTTGAGATATTTTTATGAGCTATAAATAAGATCCGGCCTTGGTCCCCCAGAGTTGGGATGCATAATCCATAGCCCGGCTAAAATAAAATGCTAGTGTCAGGTTTTCTGGTTGTCATTTAGTGGATAGGTGATGAAAGGTTTCGTGGCCAAATCTGAACTCTATATTTCACGTAGATTTGTAATTAATTACTACAATAGTTGCGGTGGTACACTTTCAGGTATTTCTATCATATTTCTGTATCGTATGGGTTTACAACTGTGCAAATTTGCAGATAATCTTATCGAAGAACTTCCTGCATCTGTTTGCAATCTTGTTCACTTGAAGTCACTTTGCTTAAACAATAACAAAGTCACCCAGGTAGTTAATACACTGTTCACACCATTTCTAACTTCCCCTGCTGCACAACACTAGGTAGTGTGTGTATTTCTTTTCTTACCCCTTGCATTAGTTGTGCTGGTTACTCAGATTCAGGTGGAATGTCGAATGCAAGTATGTGTTTGATAGAAGTATGATCAGAAGTGTTCAGAGGATCCTTGGAGGTCATATCCATGTACCCATGTATTGGACATGAGTTTTTGACACCTTTGTTTTGTATTTGGAAAGCCATATCCCCTTATGTCCGGAGATGTATAGGACACAAATGCCGAACATGCGTACTTAAACAAAAATAAAGAGTTTGAGCAACATAGTTCTTAAGATTTCTCTCGTGTATCGGCTGCACAGAACCTTGGTTGCTTCAACTCTTTATATTCCTTAAGATATCCAGATTTGTCACGTCTGAAAATTTCGAATGTGGGTATAGGGATATGATCTTCCGAGGATCCTCCCAATACCTGGATAAACCTACAAAAAATATGCCCAACAGTCAGCATCCGAGTTCAAGTAGCATAGCATGTAACTCCTTATGTGAATGCATCTTATACAAATATGAACGTAGGAACTATTGTAGATTCAGGCTACTGAGTGGGAAGAGAAATTCCGAATATTAAGCTCCGTGGTTTTTGTTCAATAAACATTGTTTGAGGGCAATGTTAAGTAGTTTGCTTGCGATTTATAGACGGATATCACTTTGATGACAGATTCCTCCTAATTTATTGAAAGACTGCAAAGCTCTTCAGAATATCGCGCTTCATGACAATCCTATTTCAATGGATCAGTTTCAGCGAGCGAGTATCTCCATTATTCAGTGCTAGATATCGTTCAAGTTTCCTGGGGAAATTTACTAACAGAGAAAATGTTCAGATGGAAGGGTTCCAAGAATTCAAAGGAAGAAGGAAGAAGTTTGACAAGCAAATTGAATCAAATGCCTATCCCTAATCATGACTATGATACTAACAATATATTACCTTGTGAATATGACAAGAGTATTCGAAATTTTTGTTAGTCAATTAAAAATGTATACACTATGTAGATGCAGTAGCTCGAATTTAGATTTTTTTAGATATTTAAAAAATAATAATTATATATTAAATTATGTCTCTCATTTTAAACTGATATATAAACTTTAAAATATTTTATATCAATCTTCAAACTATAACCTACATTCTAAATTGTTTCTTAAGCTTTAACATATTCTATATCAATCCTTAAAATATCATTCTATCTTGATCATTTTGTTAACGTACTGATAATTTTATTATTTCAAAAAATTTAATTTATCTTTGTATGTCCTAGGAATTGAACTCACGACATTCTAAAAAATTTCATGGCCTTCAAAAGTAGATTATTTTGTAACCAGTAAAGTTAATAATAATGAATGAAATGATTAAAATGGAATAATAGTGATAGTTTGAAGAATAATATAGAATATTTTTAAAGTTTAGAGACCAATTTAGAATGAGGGTCATAATTTAACGATTGATATAAAACATATTAAAATTTAGGAACTAATTTAAAATAAGGGTCATATTTTGTGTACCTTATATACAATTAACTAAAAAGAAGGTGGGGACTGGCTAATGGCTATTCCTTACTAGTAGGACAAAGGAAAGAATAGGCAAGGGCAGTTGTGTGTTTATTTTTTTCAAGAATACAGATGCTGAACTGGACAAATCGCAGCCAATGAAATTTGATGATGATGGCGTAGGATTCTCAATTTAGTCCACGTGTGCTGCCTATCTTTTTCATCTTGTCTTCTTTGCATGGACTTCTCCTCCAAATTCCCAGAAAATTCTTTAAATTCAGAAAACTGTGATTTGCCTTTGTTCATCGCCATCTGTTAAAAAAAAAGTAAAAGAATTCCCCAATTCCTTCAAAGTTTTGATCTTTTCTCCATACTTAAGCTATAGTTCATACTTGAATCAACTTAGAGTTCACCAGATAATTGTATTGAATTCTCAGCAGAATCCATTGTTTTTAAACATGTTTTGATCTGTTTTTTTAATGAATGATTAGATCGAGAAATAGAAGCATTGTTTAACGATTGTTCGACCAGATTTTGTAAGCTTCAGTTTCCTGTTTTGTTTTTTCTTCTGATCTGAGTTCTTGCATTTTTTTTATCAATGGAAGAAGGTGATAGATTCAAGTATGTAAGTTTTGTCCGAAAAGCTTCCCTTGTGGTAGATCTTTAGGTGGTCACATGAGGTCTCACATGAATAATTCAGCTGAAACAGACGAGAAATTCATCAAGAAGAAGCTTGAACCAGACATTAATGGCGGCTATATTCTAAGACAGAAACCCAAGAAGAAATGGAGTAGAGTATCATTGTTTGGTCACATGAAGTGTTATTCATCAGACAATTCTGTTTTTAGATCCGAAACCAAAAGAAGAACAAGGTACAACGAGGTTGTCCCTGCAAATTCATCTTCCATGACTGAGATCGTGCAAGAAGAACAAGAAGAGGTTGCTTTGAGCTTGATGATGCTTTCTAGAGGTACGGATAAATGGGTTGCCATGGATGAAACTTGTGCAAATAGCTTGAAGAAGTTAGAATCAAGCAAAAGAAAGTTTCAATGCAGTGGTTGTAACAAAGATTTTCTCTCTCACCAAGCACAGGGAGGCCACAGAGCCAGCCACAAGAGAATCAATGGCGGCTGTACTGAAAATAGTACAAGAAAGCTTGTGGAGGAAGATGAGACAAGGCATGAATGTCCCATTTGTTTCAAAGTTTTCACATCGAGACAGGCATTGGGTGGTCACAAGAGATCCCATTTACTCACTGATACAAACCCAAAAATCCATCAAATCCCTGAGTTTATTGATCTTAATCTGCCGACTCCTGTTGATGAAGATGAAACCATGTTCATGTGGGGCTCAACCAATGGGGGGACTGGGCCCATAACAAGTTGGATGTTACTTAAAATGCTTCAATTTCTAATGTTATGAATAGACAACCATCTCTTGTCTTGCACTCAGTGGTTCGAGATTAGGTAGCTGTGAACCAAATTATGAATAGAGATCATTTTTACTAGAATTTTTCATATGATTACAATCCAAAATGGATTATTCATGCTAAAGCATATGAAAATTGTGAAAAAAATTAAATAATTTTTCTTCATCTGGAGGTGGAGCAACGGCAGATTCTGCTGCGGGTGCAGGAGAATTTGAAGTACCACTAAGGAACCCCAGCTTTTTGTTAAGTTCATTAGCGATGAGCTGATTGGCACCATCCGACGGATGATACTCGTCCCAAAACACGTACTTACTTCGAACTGAACACAAGGTCGATTCCGCTAAGCATGTGAGAGCCGGTCTAATTCTTCCCTACGAACAACGGCGAATCGGGTTCACTAAACCCTGCAAAACATTGAAGTACGGAACTCAGTGGCGACGAATACTCTATAGAAGCCTTGTGAAAATATGCATGTATAACTTTGCAGTATAGTTAAAGTTGTTAGTTTTCTTTTTCTCGTACATGGACTCACCGTATTTGTCCGGATTCTGGATCACGTTTTCGACAAGCATCTCATAACTTAAAGTTAGCACTGAAGGAAGCAAGATTGTCCCAACCAGTAAAGAAACTGATGTTGACTCTCCTATGGTAGAAGAAGAGTCAGATGAAGAAGATATTCAGACCCAAGAACCTCCACAGCAACATGAATCAATTGCACTAAGAAAGGGAAAGAGGACCATTAGACAACCTGCTCGTTATGCTGATATGGTCTCTTTTGCATCACCAATTGCAATTGATGACGTTCCTGTCACTTTTAATGAAGCAATTCAAAGTTCAGAACATAAAAAATGGTAATTGCGGTCAAGTTTAAACATTGTTTAGACTTTGTCAATATTGTTACAAATTAAAAGATTGTTTTTTTAGAGATGTGTGTGGAATTTGCCAAGGTGGAGATTTGTTGGTTTTTGGCAAAGTCCCACATTGGTTGTGTATAAGGAGGAGGGGAAATTATTTTGTTATAAATAAAGCCATCCTCCTCCTTAGTTAATCATCCCACAAATATAAGCCTTCTTTTATATTAAAGGCTATTTGTATTATTTCTTTCTCTTTGTAATATTTCATCTACTAGTGAAATATTATTTTAGTAGTGTTCGAGGAGGTAGGCATAATTTTGGCATAACCTCGTTAAATCTTTGGTGTTCTCTTTATGTCTATTTAATAGCTATTGTCGGGTACAGTTGTTGTTAATTATTGTCCTATTAAAATTACTTGTCTTGGTAGTTCGGTCTAAGGAAAGTGGGTTTTAAAAGGGACCATTGTGACCCCTCCTCTTTCCTGAGAATCTACCTTGGTGTGATTTTTAGTACAATCGTTTTCACACTAGTCACCTAGATAATAGTTTTCAAGGTGAATTTGTTATTATTGGTGAATTTGTTATTATTGGTGGAAATTAACCCGAATTCCACAACAATTGGTATCAGCGCTATTGGTTTATTTTAGTATGCTCTGTGGTTGTGGCTTAGGCTGATCTTTCACATCAGAAAAATTTTCCTTGGGATAATTGGATTTCCGCATTGACAATTATTAAATAGAATTTGTAGCAGAAATGACAGACGCAACAAAAACATCCACATCGTCGATAACAACTGTGAAAAATGTTAGATTTGCAGTGGAGATTTTTTATGGCACCGGTCATTTCGGCATGTGGCAAAGTGAGGTTCTAGATGCCCTATTTTAGCAGGGTCTAGACATTGCTATTGAAGGAGAGAAACCAGATGATGTTGAGGAGAAAGAATGGAAGAGGATCAATAGATTGACATGTGGTACTATTCGATCGTGTCTTTCTAAAGAGCAGAAGTATGCATTTTCTAAGGAAACTTCTGCAAGTAAATTGTGGAAGGCACTGGAGGAGAATTTTTTGAAGAAAAGCGGTCAGAACACGCTCTACATGAAAAAGAGATTGTTCCGCTTTAACTATGTACCAGGTACCACTATGAATGATCACATTACTAGCTTTAATCAGCTGGTAACTGATCTGATGAATATGGACGGGACTTTTGAAGACGAAGATCTGGCTCTGATGTTGATGGGATCACTTCCTGATGAGTTTGAGTATCTTGAAACTACTCTACTTCATGGGAAAGTTGATGTGTCTCTCAGTGAAGTAACTGATGCCTTGTATAGTTATGAATTGAGAAAGAAAGACAAACAAGAAAACACAAGTGTCGAAGCAGAAGCTCTTGTTGTTAGAGGCCGTTCGAAGAGTCAGAATAAAGGAAAGAGAGGGAGATCGAAGTCAAAGTCCAGATTGAGCAAAGATGAATATGTCTTTTGTCGAGAAAAAGGGCACTGGAAGAAAGAATGTCCCAGGCTAAAGAACAAAGGCAGACCTGAAAGGGGAAAGGCTGTCTCAGAATCAAATGTGGTCGAGTATGATGATGCAGATTCAGATTTCGCATTCGCTGCTACGCCATCAACCAGCTGTTCCAGTTCATGGCTGTTAGATTCAGCTTGTAGCCACCATATGACCCCCAATAGAGAATGGTTCTTTGATTTTAAAGAACTAAAAGGTGGAATTATCTACGCAGCAAATAATTCCCCTTTTGACACACTTGGGATTGGTTCAATTCGCTTGAGGAATCAGGATGGATCAATCAGAACCTTAACATGTGTCCATTATGTACCAGATTTAATGAGAAATCTCATCTTTGTGGGAACCTTAGAGTCAAAAAGTTTAGAAGTGAGGGCAAAAGATGGGATTATGAGGATTATCTCTGGTGCACTGGTGATAATAAAGTGAATCCGGAAAAGAAACAATGTGTATTACTTTCTGGGTAGTACAATTGTTGGGAGAGCAGCAGTGGCAGCTTCTACTGATGAACAGGAGTCAGAAGCAACCAGGTCATGGTATATGCGCTTGGGGCATATTGGTGAAAAATCCTTGAAATTGCTGATAGATCAAGGATTATTGAAGGGTGCTCGGGCTTGCAAATTAGCTTTTTGTGAGCATTGCATCAAAGAGAAGAAGACAAGGGTGAAATTTGGAACAGTAATCCATGATACTAAAGATATTTTGGATTATGTTCATTCAGATGTATGGGGGCCTTCCAAGACAACTTCATTGGGAGAAACACACTATTATGTCACATTTGTTGATGATTTTTCCCGGAGAGTTTGGGTGTATCTAATGAAGACAAATGATGAGGTGCTAGGATTTTTCCTTAAATGGAAAAAGATGATGGAGACTCAAACAGGCAGAAAAATCAAACGTCTCCGTACAGACAATGGTGGAGAGTACAAAAATGATCCATTTCTAAAAGTCTGTGAAGATGAAGGTATTGTCAGGCACTTCACTGTCAGAGGTACACCACAACAGAATGGGGTGGCAGAGCATATGAACCGGATATTAGTGGAGAAGGTTCAGTGTATGTTGTCTAATGCTGGGTTAGGCAAAGAATTTTGGGCTGAGGCTTTGGTCTATGCTTGTCACCTTGTCAACCGCTTACCATCGACTGCTATTGGTGGTAAAACACCATTAGAGAAATGGTTTGGAGTACCTGCTACAGATTATGATTCCTTACATGTGTTTGGTTCCACTGCATACTACCATGTTAAGGAGTCAAAGCTGGATCTAAGAGCAAAGAAGGCGATCTTTATGGAGATCACCTCTGGTGTGAAAGGTTATCGTCTTTGGTGTCCAGAAACAAAGAAAATAATCTTCAGCGGGGATGTTACCTTTGATGAATCTACCATGTTGAGAAAGGTGACTTCAGAAAAATTGGAGCAAACAGATGGAACTCCCAAACAGGTGGAGTTTGAAGGAATCAATATTGTCCCAACCAATAAAGAAACTGATGTTAACTCTCCTATGGTAGAAGAAGAGTCAGATGAAGAAGAGGTTCAGACCCAAGAACCTCCACAGCAACATGAATCAATTGCACTCAGAAAGGGAAAGTGGACCATTAGACAACCTGCTCGTTATGCTGATATGGTCTCTTTTGCATCACCAATTGCAATTGATGACGTTCCTGTCACTTTTAATGAAGCAATTCAAAGTTCAGAACATAAAAAGTGGAGGATCTCCATGAATGAAGAAATGCAATCCCTTCAAAAGAATCAGTCGTGGAAACTAGCTAGTCTTCCGAAGGGAAAGAAGGCAATTGGGTGCAAGTGAGTATATGCAAAGAAAGATGGATTTCCTAACAAGAATAACATCCGCTACAAAGCAAGATTGGTGGCTAAAGGCTACGCTCAAATGAAGGGAGTTGATTATAATGAAGTATGTTCTCCAGTTGTAAAACATTCCTCCATCAGAATTTTGTTGGCTTTAGTAGCGCAGTTAGATTTGGAACTAGTTCAGATGGATGTAAAAACTGCATTTTTACATGGAGACTTGGATGAGGAAATCTACATGACTCAGCCAGATGGATTCAAAGTTGCTGAAAAAGAAGAGATGGTGTGCAAATTAGAAAAATCGTTGTACGAATTGAAGCAATCTCCAAGGTAGTGATACAAGTGATTTGACAAGTTTATGATAGGGCAGAAGTACAAAAGAAGCAAATATGATCATTGTGTGTATTTACGCGAGCTAGAAGACGGATCCTATATATATCTTCTTCTTTATGTTGATGATATGTTGATAGTTTTAGTCAGACAGAAATTGCGAAACTAAAGACTCAATTGAACAGGGAGTTTGAGATGAAGGATCTTGGTAAAGCGAAGAAGATTCTAGGCATGGAGATATCAAGGGATAAGAAATTGGGGAGGCTTTGTTTGTCTCAGAAAGAATATCTAAGGAAGGTACTAAAACGTTTTTGCATAAATGAGATGTCAAAACCAGTTAGTACACCTCTTGCTTCTCATTTCAAGCTCGGTGCATCAATGTCACCTAAGGATGATGCAGAACGGGAATACATGTCAAAGGTTCCGTATGCAAGTACTGTTGGTAGCTTGATGTATGCAATGGTGTGTACGAGACCCGATATGTCACATGCAGTTGGGGTTGTGAGCAGGTATATGCATGATCCTGGAAAGG